AGATTAAATTTCAGAGTGTGAACAGAAATGTTAGAAGTATAGACTTAAATTTAAGAGCACATCCAATTCAAGTGCTTGTATTCAGGTAGGGACAGTTAATTATGTAAACACCATTCCTTAATGAATTTTAACTATATATTTAAATTTTAACATACATTGTGTTGTCTCCTAAAAAATAAAAACAAGGGAAAACTAAACTACCAGTCAGGCAATTTATTTTTTTTTTATGCCCAGAAAATTTAGTTGATGCTATTTTTGAAAATGGTTTAATGTTCAAAGATGATGGTAATTGTAAAATTAGCATTTCCATACAGGAGACATTTAGTCTTCATTTACCAGATAGTAGTATGGAAAATCAACATCTTGATTATATTCCTATGTTTCTGTCTAGAAACCTTTTTTGTTTTTGGAAGTGATGTGTTTTTTTGTTATTTACTAAAACTCTTTGTGATTCTGTATTGCCAGAAAACAATCTTTATCAGACACTATGTCTGATAAAGTTTTTTTTTTTTCTAAGATCTGAAAGAGTTATTCCCTTGAAGCCATTTTTTAATTACTAATCTGAGAAAATGTCTACAGATGATAGTTTAGATATAGGCAAACATCACACTGTCGATCCTGACTACATACAACTGAGAACAAACATGCCTCTTTCAGACATAAAAATAAAGATGAATAAAAATTTAAAAAATTTTTTCATTGGATAAATTTAAATTTGTTCAACATTCCTAAACTATAAGAAATCAAGGATAAAATATCTAATTAAAACAAGATATCACAGAGTCCAACAGCTTTTAATATCAATGGGCCCAGGACAAGGTTTCATCATATCATATTACAAAGCAAAAAAAGGAAAAACATCTCTCCTGGGTTTAAATGTTTTTTTTTTATGTATAACAAGATGAACCCAATTTTCTTTCCTTTCAAGGTCACTACTAATTGTCCTGAAAAGTGGTAAAATGTTGTCATTGATTAATGTAATTTATGTATGTATACTAATCATTTTTTTTAATTTGCAAATTAAGTAAGCAATCAGTCAGTTAAGTACCATACATGATACACACTTGAACGATCGTGTCTCTTGATTCATGGCCAACTAGCCAGAACATTTTCCTTCAGTAGGCTGTATATCAGCTGACTAAAGAAAAATTATCATAGTTGTTCATTAATTAAAAAAAATAAATAAAAATAATAGATGAATGCAAATTAAATAAAGTTCCATTTCAATCTCTTCTGGAAATATCAAAGACTACCAAAACTCATTTGCTAATCAAATATTAATTAACTATAGTTTGAGTGAATGTGTTTTTTAAATACTATCTACTTAATACTTCCTCTGCAAAAAAATAAATAAAAACGTTTATTAATCTCAGCTTTAAAATTTATATACAAATTATAAATAAGTCAGATTTTAATTATTGATTTATATATTTAGATTGAATTTTTTTATGCAAAAAAAAAAACTTTTGAGCATTCACTTAGAAATATAAGAAAATATAAAGACTACTTCACATCTAATTTAATAAAACTGCTGTATTAAAAATGTCCTATTGACATGTAAAACATTTAAAAAAATTTTTTTTTTTTCATCCCTTTAGACAAAAAATTCCACAAATTTGATAAAAAAAAATATTGATCAATATCAAAGTATATCAGCAAACGACCTGGAATATTGAGAGAGAGAAAGAAAATAAGTTCTCAGGATAGTTATTAACTCTTATTAGCAAGTTTTATTGTCCTATGTCAGTTTTTAAGAGAAATAAACAAATATAAATAAGAAAAAAAATTGATAAGTGTCTTTTAAAAAGCTTGTATTGTAAGTAAAAAGTATCAAATGATGAGACTTTAATTTGGCAATATTCACTATCACTAAAATCGAGCAAAAAACAAGCATTGACAACATTACATTAATAAATGTCCTGTAAGATTAGCTTGCTGGCCATCACTAGGGCAGGTATGAGATAGAGAAAAAAATATTTGAATAAAATTAATTTTAATAACTCAAAGTTTTAAGAGTAGAATATGTACATGAAGGAAATATATAAACATGCAGTGTATGCTTGCTCTCACTCACACATACAAAAAAATATATAAACTTCATAGTTCATTTTTGTTAAGTAAATTTGATCACATCTGCATTCCTTAAAGTACATAATTACTTTTCTTTATTAAGTGATAATTTAAATTGGGAAAGTCTAAAATAATCATTGTATCCACTTTCTGGCAAAGTTTAACAAACATACTTGGAAAAAAAATAAAAATAAAAACAGTATGTTAAAAGGACAGGTTTTCTCTTGACACCACTATTACCATCAAAAATAGCTTTTTAAAAACAAAAATTGCAGATGGAGCACCCCCTACAATATTTGTTTTAAAAAGCTATTTTTAGATATTTAATAAAACTCAAACATATGAAACTGGATTTATGCATTTTTTTTTTAAAAGAATTGATAACAAAAATATTAAACACTATTTATTAATTTATTAGATTGTTTATTCACAAGAATAATTTTATATTTACAAGTTTATAAAAATATGTGAACCAACTACAATGCAATTATTATTTAACATTTTATAAATTTATGAATAAAGAATTTGTTTTGAAAACAAATTATTTATTCATAAATTTATCAAAATGTATGTGAACAAGAGAACTAGAAAATTTAAGTAAACACACAACATTGAGTAACAAATAAATTTTCAAAAAAAAAAAAAACAAAAAAAACAAAAAAAAAACAAATGCATTTTCCAGGAAATTCTTTCATTTGATCTCACCAACAAATTCACTAAAATAGGTTGAAAGCCAAGAGAAAAAAAGTGTACAAATGTTTAGGTTTTATTAAAATTCTAAAAATAGTGCTTTAAAGCAATAAAAATTGCTGAGAGAATAGATGGTAATAACAGTGTCAGGGGAAAAAAAAAGCCCTTTTCACATTTTTTTTTTTCTTTTTCTGAACATGAATGTTAAACTTCGCCAACTTTCTGCTAAAACTTAAATGCAATTGATAAGTAAAGAACAAAAGAGCAACATGTCTACTTTGATAGCTGTTAACCACAACTAACACAAATTTATTTTTCCAGTTTCTGTTTAGTATTTGCTCAAAGCTTTACAATATATTCATATGCAACGAGGGTGGTAGGTTTTGATCCAATTAAATTTATTCCAATTAAACAGGGGATTTTGAGACTTTTTGATGATGTGCACAAGCTTATTTTCAAATTTCTTTAGAATATTTTGAAACCTAGCTTACTTATTGTGTCCTGGCTCATAATAATATAAGTAAATATCACTAAATCTTTGGAAATTAACAATTATATTTATAAAATATTAATAAATTTTAATTTGGTTGGAGATTATAATTTATCTAAATAGAAAATCTGCTAAGACCAGCTCATCTGATTTAATCATGCTAAGGGAATAAATGAACTCATAGCAGTTGCCTATTTATTTTCTTCACTCAAGATAATATGAGTGTTTGTCTTACATTTTCTATAATCATCAAAAATTGTTAATTTTTATAAATATATTCTCAGTGAGAATAGGTTAAAAACACTGTAATCAATTTAAGATTGCCAACAAGTTGAAAGAAAAAAAAAAGATTAAAAAAATTCTGATAGCAACTCATGAACAATGACAAATGCATTTTCAAAGGGTTTGTGCAAATATTGTCTCTTAAGATTGCTTTAAATGAATATCAATGTTACCATAAAAGCATATATCTATAACAAATCAAATCACCTCCCACCAAAAGATATGCACTAAAATATCAGCTAACAAGAGAAAGATTGAACTTGTTATTTTATTTATTATAAATTCTGTCATCAACACACATTTTTCTTTTAACTTTTTCTTTTTTCAAATTGAAAGAAAAAGAAAAAAATAGTAATTAGGTCTTTAATATTCAAGAGACAGAGTGAAATAAGTTTAGGTTATGTCAAGGAGGAAATGACTTGACAGGAGAGAGAAACAAATGTTGCCAAAAGAGAATTTGAGTTTGGACATGTAAGAGGCAACCCACAACTGGGTGCCCTTAACAGTCTAGAAGTTTTCATTTTATTTTTTTTTTTTTTTTCCTTAGACAAAAAAATAGGATAGAGAGAGAAAAAAAAAATAAGAGGATATATATTTTTTAACGATACATTGTCTTTATTTTTGTATTTTTTTTTTTTAAATCCTCCCAATTTTTATCTTTATAAAATGAGTATTGTGGTGTAAGTAAAACAAACCCTCCAACAAAGAGCAAAGTGAAAAAAAAAATTGAAAACAATCAATTAGTTGGGGACATGCAGCTTCAGTTAAATGTGACAAGACACAAAAAAAAAAAAATTAAAAAAAAAGAAAAAAGAAAAAAAAAAAGACTGGAACCTGAATAAAAGGGATATTTCTTTTTGAAATAGTCAAACTAAATGAATTATTACTAAACAGTTTTAGAGATAAACAAATTTTCTGTGACATTTTATGCCTCATAAGAATCACAGGTTTTACAAATATCCAAATAAACTGATTGCAGGCTTGTTTTATATCCTTGCATACACACTGACTTCAGAGCCAAAAGATTTGCACAGGATGTTGATGTTTTCTTTTCTTTTTTTTCCAAATGCTTAAATCTAAACCAAATTATGATCAAGTTAAAGGAATAATACTTATACAAGCACCACAACTACAACATATTCAAGGTTCAGATGGTTGTGTTTCAGCTTAAGGATAAACCAAAACATTCGCCTTGTTTAGTATTATTTTCTTCATAATGCCCCATTAAAATACCCACCCTGATTTGGTGTTGCCCTGAATTTCAGTGTCCCAACTATTTCTTGTTTTTTTTATTTTTCCTTTACTCTGTTTTAAGGATTTAACTTCATATTTCCTCACAGTCTTTCAATATAATATATATTTGTTTTATTTTAAAACATTCCCTCCCACCCATTCTTATTATTAATATAAGTGAAAAAAAATATCAATCACCCAACCAACCAACCCAACAATCAAATCAATCAATTACTCAATCCATAGTTTCTGGATTAGAATCAACCGATGAGGTCCGCTGAGAATCTGAATTATCAGATTCAAGTCCTCCAGCCAGTGCTGCCTGTAATCGCTCCTGCGTTTGCTGCAGACGTCGAAAACGGATTATCATATTTCGAATCACATTGGAAGGGATTTGCCATGAGTAGCGTGAAGATCGAGGGGGTGCCCGGAACCCACTCAGCATGGGTCCCCCAGGCTCAGACATGGATCGGACAATATTCCGACGGTTCATTTGGATAGGCCGACCTACATCATCATCAAAACCCTGGTGAGACATTTGGCTCATCAATCTGCGCCCAAAGTTCATAACGCCAGGCAATCCAGAGCCACCACCTTGTATGATACCAGTCTCCATGAAAGGAGAATCTTCTGGAATATCTGGTTCAGTCCTGTCATTCCTTATTGCTGAGGAAGATGACGATGAAGATGGTGCAGATGCTGCACTCGAGCCATTTAAGTCCGAGGAGGGCTGAGATGTTGCACTAGGGGTGTTATCTGCTGACCGGCTAGTACTTTCTCCATCACTTGGAGTGGTTGCACTACTGTTAGTATCACTGCCAGAGGTGCTGGTGTGCGACCCTGCCTGCTGCTGGTGTTGCTGTTCTGAATTGCTTTGTGTGACATGGCTGCGGGCCTCCTGCAATATGTCTTCATAAATTTCTGCTTGCTGCTCAATAGCAGGGAGCTCATAGTGATGAAAGAAAAATACCATTGTGTGCTGTGAGAGAAAAAAAAAAAAAAAAAAAAAAACATTAAGTTAGAAGTTAAAATGATTAATGATATTAAACTCTTCTTGAGATTTACAAATTTGATTTTTACTAGTTTGTGATAAACCTGCTAGTTGGTATGAAGGAATAGACAGGATATAATGTACCATTGTCAAAAGTAAATTCTACCATATCAATAGTCGATCTCTAAGCATTAGCAACAGTAATGAGGATCACAATTACCTCACCATTTACCAAGTCATGTATAATTAGAGTGAGCACACTAACTGCTGATTCCACAAACAAAAGACCATTCATCCTAAAGAAATGCTTCCCTCCCCATGAACATAAATTAGATTTAGTATGATAAAGACTTACTGATAAACTAGTTCATAAGCCAAACCAAGTTCGAGATAATTTACTATGAAGATCAAGCAGTGTCTAGCTTTCAAGCTCTCATCAGATGAATGTTGCATTCAAATATATTGCAGTGCTTTATAAATATAAAGATTTACCAAGATTAGTACAGTCTAGCATATTGTCAAAATAGAAGGGTAATTAGTAAAGATCAAAATCATTACACTAGCAATAGTCTACATGACTAGCTTGTTAACAATCATGAGGGTAGGCATTGCAATGTTTGTAACAAGGCAAATATTTTTAGATATATCTTCAAGTACCAGGAAAGTGACTTGTTGTACCTTCTCAAGTTAATGTTCTCAGCTAACATGAGGTGGAAAGACTATACTGAATCCATTGCTAGGTCAGCTACCAAGAAAGTTGGTTCACTGTGTTGTGCAAGATAATTTTTCTCTCCAGAATCTATCTTACATATCTATAAGTTGACCATTCATGCATGCTTAGAATATTGCTGCCACATATGGTCCAGTGCCCTGCTATTTATCTTGAGTTCCTTAATAAAAAGAAAAATCAGCAATATTATTGGTTCTGATCTGGTGGCTCAGCTTCAGTCACTTTCCCATCACCATAAGGTTGCTTCTCTGTGTTTCTTTATAAATACTTTCATGGTAATTGTTTGGATGAGGTCTTCGCTATAGTACCCAGACATTTTGAATTTAAGCACAGTACTAGATTGATGCCAAGATTTCATCAATTTACAGTTGAACTAGCTAAATGTAACTAAATTCTATGCTAACAGTTTCTTTTCTTGCACCTTTTGCTTGTGGAACTCCTTTCTGGCTCCATGCTTTGCAGCTAACTTTAATCTGCGAAATTTTAAATGCAATGTCAATTGCTATCTACTGTCCTCCTGATTACTCTTTCCACTCATTATTAATATTTCTGTCCCTAATTCTTCCACACCCTATTTTAACCCCTTGTATTTTAGTGGCTTTACTCCCTTGCATGGGGTGATACTGATTAAGAAAAAAAGTACCAATAACATTTTTAAAAAGCTGAAGATAGTCTATGAATATTGTTATTTTAATCAGCTTTTAAAAAAACACCAACATTAAGTCAACTTTATGTAGTATATCCATTTGAACTAAAAAAAAAAAAAAAAAACACACACACACATTAAATATTCCAACAAATCTAAGACTGATGGAATCAGTCATGTTCAGTCTCTCATTCATGTCAAAATTCTCCTACATCCCAAAAGCTTGTAACCAATTATGGGATTGGAAAGGTTACATACAAATTACAAATAATCAGCTTCTGTTAATCCCTTTGAAAAAGATGAATTATGCACTAAAAGGATTTAAGTGAGTTTAATCGTAGTTTTACTTTATATATCATGAATTAGAATGTGCCTATGTCACTTTTTGACCAATAGCTTTCTTTTTGTATATACAATTCTATTACAAATAAGTATTTAAAACTTACCTGAATAAAAAGCCAGGAAGTAAACAGTGCCAGACCACTATACTGACCATTGAAGCGGTAATGATAAGCGTAAAAAGCAAAATGATACAAGTAAAAGAACCTGTAAGGAAAAGAACATATCACCATTTCAGAATATAAATGTTTCTTTAGAGCAGTATGAATAGCAATCATTGAAAGTTTGATGTTTTGGTCCTTGTTAATTGACCAAATCACCAATAATTCAGAAAGCTATAATAACAGGTAACACATGTTCTTGAAATGCATTACAAAATAAAACAATATTGATTTAAATCTAATTATTATTTCAAGCAAAACTTGTTCATAATCTATTAATCCCTGCAATAGAGAAATCTGATTTACATATATCATTTTTGGTTGATAGAATTTATTGAATGAGTAAGGCACTATTAATATTAGGGTTCAAATTCTACACTCGTCTGTGGCATTCACTTTCAAACTGTAGTAGATATTTTGGATAGTAAGAATAATTCTTTTTTGCAAGAATTAAGAGTTTCTTCCAGACAAGAAATGGAAAAAAAATGTTTAATCATATTTTGGGAAGTGGGTTGGACCGAGAACTCTTCAGCAAAACTTGCCAAGCTTCGATCAAAAAATATTTGCAATTAATTAACAATTACTCAGCAAATTCCACACACTAAAATAATTTCTTCTGCACCAATCAAGTTAATTATTTCTTTTTCCACTTATATATTGATTGGTAGAATTAAGTGTGTGTGTGTGTGTGTGTGTGTGTGTGTTCATTTATGAAAGAAAGAAGAGAGAGAGAGGCACCACCACCATTACTTACCTGAGCCAGTACCTCTTACTGATCCTAGTGTGGCAACACACAGCGTCATATTGATCAGCCACCCACACAATGAGAATTATGTAAAATGCTGTTGTTGTGTCATTAAAGAACTCTGACATAATTGCTTCCATTCCTGTAAAAATAGTAACAGTAATTAGAAATCATACAGGCTTTAGTTACCTTTGTTTAAAGGGGACTTCTGAAAGAAATATTCTTATTTACAGGTCAATTTTATTAAAGCATGAATAATTTTAAACAGATTTAAAATTAAATTTATTCCAAATCAATCATTACTTAATATTATACACACAAAAAAATGTATATTCCATGTTAAAATGAATGAGAAAATGTCCATCAGCAAATTTCTTGGTATCTCTGGTTAAACTAGAAGCAATTTTTTTTTTAACAAACTACAAACTTATCACATGGAGATTATTTTAATAAGATGCCTTCAATAATCATGTTAACCTATCAATACTTACATAATATTCACATTTATTGACAATCATTGGCAATCAGCTAATTAAAAACTTAAATCCCCATTTACATATAGTTTCCATAACATTTCTTTGCTTATCCGAGGAGGTTAACTATAAATAGACACAATTGTTAATGAGAATTAACACTTGTACAGTTTTTAAGAAATTCTCTTAGTTCAAGCAGATGTATATATAAATTTATGCAAACAAAATCAACAGTCTGATTGAACTCATGGTAGACAAAAGAAAAAAATGAACAAAAAACTCAAGAAAGACAAAGAAATTTCTAGTTTAATGGTAGCAGTCTCAAGAGGCTTAAGTTAGCAATCTCAAAACTAACAGGAAATTCATCCCAATGCTAGGATTAGTAAAACTGTCCATTCCTAAACAGAAATTAAACTATTTGCCATGAATACTTACCCACAAGTGCAAGGATCACAGTTAAAAGAGGTGCAGCAGGAAAGGCAATTGTTACATTCATCTCGAGCATTTGTAGAAGCTCAACTGTATAATATAAAAAAAAGAAAAGAAATATTTATGTAAATATTTTTAGAAAGAATAAATTAAATAATATTTAAAAATTCAGGAAGTCATTTTTTTTTCTTTCATCATTTATACAAAGATCTTAACAAGAAAATTTATTCCCATACTAAATATATAGACATAATATAAACATTCAAGAAATAAGCAGTTATTTTCATTTTAATGACTTTTTTTTTGGATAGATTCCCTACACTTCTTTTAACCTCCTAAAAATAATTCTATTTTTTCATATTAGATATTCATAAATTTGATTTTGTTGGAAAAAAAAAAAATGTATATCAATTTAAAAATTAAAATACAGCAATTTACATTTATTAGTGTGATGCACATGGTGGCAATATTGGTAGGGAAGAAAAAAAATTTTCATATGATATTTATTGTTATATTTTTTTTTAATTTAATCTTTTGGGGTGAAACATTTTTAATCTGGATATTGTTAAAAAATAAAATGTTCTAATTGTGGCTATAGTTATGCTATCAATACACATACTCTCATAAAATAATTTCTTTTATGAAAGGAGTTTTTGATATTTAAAAAAAAAAAAAACAGAAGAGACAACACACATGCCTCAAAGTTACTCTTAGTAATTACATCTTTTGTTTTTCATTCATTGAAATTAAAGTTTCAGTGTATCAAGGTCACACATATAGATTTATTACTGTTTATTTTTTTATTTTTTATATAGGGAAGAGAGAAACTTCTAGAATTATTCAAACTGAGTGAAGGACATAAAATTTACTGGCATATGTAACTAGCTATAAATTTATTACATGAAGCTTTTATATTTTCTGTAATACAATGTAATCTTCTATAAAATTATAACCTTTTATAAATATCTAGTTTCTACTGTGTAGAAGAAATTTTCTGCAGGATTTAATGGGAGATGAGTGGCAATAATAAAGTCAGCAGCATGAAAATGGTTTAGTTAAGCTTTACTGGGGATATATCTTAAATGAGTAAATTATAAGAGCAAAATTTAATCTCCTTTTTATATATTCTGTGGGGGGGATTTTTAAAGTAGATTCTATAAGACAAGACAGTCACTATGGTGAAGAAAATGGCAATTTAGTGCATCAAAACAAGTGACAACATGACTTCACTTTATATAGAGAAGTGTCGTGTAAATTTCTGTGCCACCTCAACCTATCACTGATTTTAGACTTACATAAAAGCAGAGTGTCTTGAATGCCAGGATCATTGCAGTGCATGAAAGACAGTTTTGTGACCTATGCTGTAGATTTGTGGCATTTGACATGCAGATTTTTGTTTTTATTTTTTTTTCATTTCTAGAATTCAACTACAATAACCAAACAGAAATCATCCAAATCGGCTTTATATATTGAATCTGAGTTTAATAATTATTTAAGAAAAAGGTTGTCAGATGAGCAGACAGAGACGTAATTGAAACAACCACAATTGAAGAAAATAAAATATAATGTTAACAACACTACATCAGTCAGCTACCATCAATAAGAAGAAACTTAACAGACAAGTAAGGTCAAAGAGGAGTTAATTTAATCAGATCAATTCATATATTAACCCATTGTAGTAGAATTATCATCACTTTTAGTTGATAGAAATTACAGACATCCAAATTGGTTCAAGTTGGTAGATCAAAACAATTAAGGATACAGTGTTTAAAACTCTTTATCATTACAAGAGTGTGATACATACCTATAAACATAAAAATTTGACGGTGTGAATATCTTAAGAGTGTTGACACGGAGACAGTCTAAAAAATAAAAAAAAATTTAAAGTAACAATTATTAAAGATTTTTATAATGTGTGTTTAAACAGAAAGAAAATGCCACATTTTAAATCAAAGAGATCTGTTCTTTTATTCTTCAGTAATCAATAACATTTTTTTTTTTTTTTTTTAAAAAAAAAAACACTGCTAACATACAAATAGCAAAATTGATTAAGAATGAAAACAAAACTGAGTCTTGTAAACTTACTAAGGAGTAACTATTGAATGTTTATTTTCATAATTGATGCAGAATATACATTGGCAATTAGCTTCAATAGATTACCATCCCCATCCTTTAAGTGATACCATTATTCATTATAAATATATGGAACTCAGAAATAAAAATCCATGCTATCAACTCAATCCAGTCTTGTTTGTCTATATGAATCATCTCTGTATCCCCCACCCTTCACACACCAATAGAATGCAATTATCTTAAATTTTGATCATGCGCGCACACACACACACTGGAATTAATTATACATTGTAAGACTAATAATCTGCATAAATTATTATGCACTTCTTAAATTGATTTTTCATTGTTATTATTTCATTTCAGACAAGTGAGTTCCAAATTTGTATCATTTGTTAAACTGCTTTATGTGAAACTAAAACTAGCAAATAAAGAACAAATAGTAAAGTTTACAAACTATTACCAAGTCTAAGGCAAGGAATCAGAAGCATCCAAACTTTTAAACTCTTGTATACATGGTTTTACACTTATAAAATTTGATGGCTTAAATAAAAAAAGAGAATCAGCTTTGAGTGGATATGTTATAAAATAATGTAGATATAGACACTGTTCATGCTTTATTGCTGACAATGCATCTTTCTTCAAATGTTGCTTAAAATGAAGTCAATGACAAATTCTGCCGGTCTGAAGTAAAAAGCACTCTTTGCTCTGAATGTCGTATCCTTCATCAATGTTAAAAAAGGTCATTTTATCCATCTTACCAAAATGAAAACAGAATGTGAATTAAAAATTGTTTTTTTTATCACAGCACTGTTTCTTGGCTTTAATTTTGTAAGAACAGTGATAAAGGAAAGAATAAACAAGAACTCAATGGTTGCACTGAGAATGCCTATTATTATTATAAAATCATTTTTATAATGCTAGTGATTTTATAAATGGTAGATATATTAAAATACAATTTTGGTCTGTTGTTTTGGTTAAGAGTTCTAACTTTATTTAAAATACAGAAATCTAGAGAGAATGAAAGATTAAACAAGGAATTCATTTCATCTGACCAACAGTATAGAAAGGGAGGGCAGCAGAACTTGAGTGAAATCTTTCCCAACTCCTTGATCCAATCTGGCCAATTGCTTTATGTTTTGTGCAGTAAAACTATGTTATGATGTATATTTAAAAATCACATGAGCAGATTATGTGCTTTGCTCTCATTCAATGATGTGTAACATTTGTGTCCTTTTGGAGCCATGTTGAACTCAACCACATTTATAAATATCTACATTAAAAGATAAATCACACATGTAACAATCACTTTAAAAGATGCTAACAATCCTCACTCAATCTGGCAATGTTGATTTAATTAAAATTGTTGCATCCAAGTAATGCAAAAGAATTCTATTTTACCTTTGCAAAAGAAATATATAAAAGATTAAAAAATAAATATTAAAATCCAAAAAGTAAATTTGAACACAGACATACATGATGTAGCATCATTGTATGTTGATTTTAGTACTTGTTAAAATTTAAAAGCATGACACAGATAAATTAATACAATAAAACATGGTATAATATATCCCAATACTGTTTAAAAAAGGCAATTCATTAACTATATTTTTAGAATCAAGACATAATTCATTAAGATATAAACAAACATTTATACTTTTAAGGATATCTGAAAAAAAAAAACATCACCTTCAAAATAAATAGTAATCAATTTAATTCACTTTTTAAATCAACTTACATAGTCTAAAAACATCATATAGTCTATGACCTTTGGAAAAAAGATGTATTTCTATGTCACATGTTAACATCCTAGGTACAAAACTAAACTACAACTTGGAACATCCATCTATACACACACACAATGTTGTTTGTGTTCTAAGTTGTAGGCCAGTAAGCTGAAATCTGCCATGGGGTACAGCTTTTCAAGATGAAGGTCATAGGCTATATAAGTTTTTCTAACTGTATGTGACTAGATAAGTGTGTTTTAACATTTGTTTGTTTCTTATATTTTTGCATTCATGCTTCAAATGTTATTTTATATGCAAAATTTCATGAAAGCTATAAATGCAATTTTATATATAAGCCAATATCACAAAATCATTAAGAAAATTTTATTGAATTACAATAACAAATAAAATAAAAACATTGAGCTTCTGCAATATAAAAAAGTATTTACCCACATTTTTTTAACATTTTTGTTTATATGTACTTTAGTCAGATGTTTATAAACTATCCTTTTAATTTTTAAACAGTAATGAATTCAATCTGAATATATAGAAATGAGAGATACTTACCTTTAACAAGATTAATCTTCTTTTCTACTAACATTTGAATCTGTGCTCCTTATATCTTCTTGAAATAGTGACCCAAAATGTTAAAGATCAAAATGAAGATCATTTCCCAACTAAAATCTATGATACTACACAAAGATGCTAAGTTCAAGGTAATTAGTTGTCAAATGTCAAGATTTATAAAGCATAATAAAATTAGAAACTTACAAATAGAAACATGATGAGTGCAGCAGCCATGTAAGAACTTCGTGTCATCCACATACTAACAAATTTATAATGTTCTCCTGTAACTACATTTCGCAGGAAACCTTTGAGAAAATAAAAAGGCACAAAGTAAATCACAGCAATTTTGTAAAATTAAAAACCCATTCACTTTATAACCATAATCAATTTAGAGGGAAGCAGCTTTGCTAGATTTAAGCAAAGTTAATATAAATTCTTTTCTTCAGGCTAAACAAAGTTTTGAAAACAACTGTCAGGCATTCAAACAAATTCATATTACTTTACAATTGATAAGTTTTAAATTTATTATTTAATTAAATTTATTATTTAATTATTTTCATTATTAGCTACAACCACAAAGAAAAACTGAAAATAGACATCTGTAATACAAGCTGTATCAGACAGGGTACAATAACAAAAGCCCAATTTAGAAAATGTTGCAATATACCTTTGTGGTCCTCCTGTTCTGCCAGTTGCTTAATGCTAGCCATGAGAATATCATCATACCCTAGAAATTCTTCCAATAAAAACCTAGTGAAGCTGTCACCAAAACACTTGTCTTTCAGTGGATCTGTAAAATATTAACCAAACAAAATTATTGACTCAAAATGAATTTGGTACATTTAGTGATGGATGAGTCAACACTTTGTCTATTTGAGACAGGATTTGGCCCTTTGGATGAATAAAATTATTTAGTAAAATTGATTTAAATGAAATGTTAAAGACCTGAAAAATCATATATTTTTTTTTACATATATTATATATTTACATATATTTTTTTACCTGGAGATGTTTAGAAATTAATCACATTTAAAAATGTTGACATTTAGTCAAACATAAACCATAATAATACTTTTCAGATTTATGGCAAAGTTTGGTTAAAAGAATTAAGACTAAGTAGGTACTTCTAGTTATATAAAATGAGTAAGAAAGAAGATTAAAATGGTTATTTTCAAATATAATGGTAAAGAAATATTTTTTAAACAACACCCTAAGTGCTGATAATAGCAAAGACAAAAGTTTAAAAAGCAGTTTCATTAGACAATTTGAACATTAGGATGGATTTTATTAATATGATAAATATTCAGATTGTCTTTTAGATAAAGCAATTATCAAAATATTAACAAAACCAAAAGGATTTTTCTAGAAGTGATCCTATTATTCATTTTTATTGCTTTAATGTGAAAGCAGAGAATAAGAAAAAAAAATTAAAACAGTGGAATGAGATTTGACAGGATTGAATTAAAGAGTTTATTATTAAAAAGTTTAAATTACAAAAACTAAAAGACTACACTTAACCATTAAATAAAAATCAAAGCAAGCCTTAGTTATGACAATAGTGTCCAAGTTAAATGAAATTCTCCATCAAGATTTGATTTTTAAAACTTAACCATTTTCTTTTAGATGCAGGAATGCTCTCTTCATTCTGTAAATCATCTACATCTAAATATCACTTGAAAGCTGTTTTTACTCCCAATGACCACATTAAGGAAAAAAAATTTGCCTTACCAAGTGTGACTAACATCACAGTTATATTGAGACGCTCTCGAGTCTTGGGAGACAATCGAAGGAAGCCATATTCTAATGAGTATTCCACTATGTACTTTTCTTCTGGCCACACTGAAAAGAATCATCAAAAGACATGCAATTGATTATGTTTAGAAATTAATCACATTTGGTATCATAATCTCCACAATTCTGTAGAGATTATGATACCAAGCCCAGTCTTTACTTTCTGTTAACATACAGAGGAATCAAATTATTTCAAGACTTTTTTTATCTCCACAACATGTCATCTCTTAAAGAACAATCTACAAGAATAAAATAGTAATGCTGTGTGTGTGTGTGTATATATATACACATCACACTGGTATTTTGGACAGCTGAACCAATTCAAGTAACACTTATAGCAGAAAGATTTTTATGTTTCTGATAAAATAGTACAATTCATTTTAACTTACTATACATTCTTCTTTATTATGATGATGATTATTATGTTTAACTTTTTGACCATGTGAGAAATTTACATATCTAAGTTAATATCATTGTTGAATGTCTAAATTTTGGTATTTATTATAGTTTATTACATTTTGGCTATGGGAATTTAGTCTTGAAATCATGATATGGTTGTAGGTAGAATGCTTGGAATTTGTTTTAGTGTCTGCATTTGGAAATGAACTCTGATCTTCTGTTTAGGACTTTAATTTGTTCTGGAAAGGTGATTATTGCTATTTTCTCTTCTTAGCAAACGTTACATTGTTTTGAAGTGTTGTTGTAAGTTAGTGATATTTTTCTTATTTTTGGTGTATTTTGGTTTGTGTTCCAATATACAAATTAAAATTAATAGAAAAAATAGGAAGGCTTATTAAAAGAATGAAGTGGAAAACATACTCCTTGAATCAGCAATATGACACAAACACAAGAATAGATTAAAAAAAATGCCTGCTACAACACAATGAACTTGGTAATTTTAAGGACCTAATGAACATAACCAAACCATAACAATGTAGACAAATTCCAAAAGAAAATTAAAATGCATACAAAAAAAAAAAAAAAAATCACCTAACACAGATAAAACTAGAAATATATATAAGCTAAAAAACCCAAGAAGACAAGCCAAAGAAATCACAAAAACTCAACTTAAATAATCACATAAACTGCCTCCAAAATCAACAGCATTCACCATACTTAAAGATCACAAACATCAACATGCAAACTAATAAACTCAACAAAAAGTGAATTACGTAAAATAAGTAAAATTATCCTAGAAGAGATTGAATTAAAAGCAGCTTTAGGTTTAAGTCCATGGGGGGAAAAAAACACAAAATCAATAATAGACTGGTTCCATAACATAAAAGGTATATATAACTGTGCATTCATCCAAAGTGATACTAAAAATTTCTGTCCATCTATCACTGAATCTATATTAGATCCTTGTAAACCAAAAAAAAATCATAACAATAAAAATTATAAAAACTATGCTGAAAATCACTATTATTTAGCAATGAAGCAGATTAGATATAATAAAGAGAAGCTATGATAGAGCAGAAAACTGCAAACTGGTCAGAAAAAAATACACTACACTAGCTAGAAAAAAAAAACATAGGATTGTAGAGAGACAACACTCCTACAGAACTGAGAAAAGAAATTAAAATTTTCAAAGAAATAGTATTCAAAATTGACATTAAAACAAACCTAAAAGTGGTAGACTTCTTCAATATAATTTTAAACATTCACAAATTGAATGGCGACCCACTCACTTTACATACTTCTTCCAGCCACCTACCCATGATAATCAAAAAAATTCCACAATCAGCTACAGGTTATCTGATAATTTGTGAGACAAAAAATAATTTTCAATGAAGATGAACATGAGTATCCACTATAATAGGATTTAAAGTAATAAAAATGTCAGATTAAAAATAAATGCATTAATTCTTTAAAAATTACTTTGTTTATGTTTTCGATTCAAAATTAATAGATATGAAACTTTTGAGAAAATAATATGAGTGAGGGAGATGTGTTTTCCTTAAAAAAAGGATAATAGATCCTTGCTTGTTGTGATGTTCTTTATGGATGAATAGTAAATCCCATTGGATCAAACGGTTATTTCCACTATATAGTGGGTGCAGGTTCAGTCCCTGCTGGGGAACATATTTTCTTTACTAAGATTTGTCGAATGCACTGGCCAATAGATATAATACAGATTGTTTAATAAATAAAAATGGGGCATCTATTACAAATATGAAGTATCCACTATAATAGCATTTTAAACAATGTCAGATTAAAAATATATCCATTAATTCTTATATATATATATATATATATATATATATATATATATATATATATATATATGAATTAGGTATATTTAGGCAGCAAATATTCATCCAAACAAGTTTGATTAAAGAGAACCAACAAGGTTTTTTATTATATTTTTCCAATTGTCAGATAAGGCATTGTGTATTGTGCTTAAAGTTGAGAATAAACTGTCCAAAGTTCATATTTTGTTATTTTTGTTCAAGTACTTTCAACTCTCTCAGTTATCGTGTGTGTGTGTGTATATATATATATATATATACACACACACACAAAAAAGATTAATACAAATAAAATTATTCATTTAGCTGACTGATGTTATATTCAGCAACTCAACTAAAGTTTTGGTTCTGAGATTAACATTTTTGCAAATGTTAAATCCACTCTTCAGGAGGTTTCAGCAGTTAACTGCATTTTTTTTCTCACATTGCATTAATTTTTTTTTTTTTTTTTAACGAAGGTTGATGATGTAATTAGTTTATGTGCTAGTTGTGAGTCTATTATTGGTGTTAAGTTGATGTTTTTTCTCTTTTGTTATGTGTCAAATGTAGTCATTTCTATTTTCTAATATTTTATCTATACATATATGAAGAGCAGTTGTGTGTATGTCGCCAAAAGTAAAAAACTACAATAGTTCATGACAAAGTAAATATGTATACAGACTCATTATTACCAAAGCCAGCTTTTTGTAAAAAAATTATGTTTTGTATTTACAAAGATATTTCAAAATTAAAATAAATTTGAATGCATTCAAAAATCTTAGAATTAAAAATTAAAAATGAACAGTAAGAATTCTTATTTGCAAATTGGATTACAATTAGTTTTTACTTTTTTATTCTGCTAAATGCTATACAAGTATGTATTTTTAAAATTTCTATTCTCTTGAATTTATTTTCACATCTATAGTAAATAAAAGCATAACTTAAAAAAAAAAAAAAAATGAATATTAAAACAATAAAATAAATTTAAAAATAGAATATTAAATATAATTATTTGAAAAAAGTTTAATATTTATTTATTCAAATATTTGAGAGTGTGTGTGTGTATGTGTGTGTGGCTAAAGCATCCAAATAAAGTAAATAAACTAAATTACATATATTTAAACATTTAATTTAATCATTTTTTTTAAAGCAAAAACTATAGCAAGCCTTACTTCTTTGAAAAATAATTATTTGCTATTTATTTTGGAGGGGATTATTAATAATAAAAAGTAAATAAACATAAATTAAGAATTCAAGATATATTCAAACTTGAATTTATTTTCACGTCTATAGTAAATAAAAGCGTAACTTTAAAATAAATGAATATTAAAACAACAAAGTAAATTTAAAAGAAGAATATTAAATACAATTGTTTGACACAAAGTTCGATATTTACTTATGCAAATATTCGTGTTGGGGGGAGGGATTACTACAAAATAAATATTCAGACAAACCACCCAACAGACTTCAGATGTAACAGACAAAAACTGCAGGCAAAATAAATAAACCTGCAGGCCAAAAAACTTCCAAATCATCAGTGATGTATTTCAAAAATTGCAGGCTTAGCAGAACGAGTTGTATTAGTTCTCAAAGTGACTGCTTGGTGGCAGGCCTTTCAGTTGTAAAGAAAAATGGAAAGTATGATACATTAGCACATGCATGAGAAAGTAACTGAGAAATTTATTATTTTTGTTATTTTGCTTAATATATCTATATTAAGTATATATTTATTTATACCATGTTTATAGTATTTACATTAATGATCACAACTACTGGTAGTTACTACAGTGTTTTATAACTGAAAAACAATCCCTTCCCATCTACGGACAATCAGCTTTAATGGACGTTCCAAATTTGAAAATAAATAAATAATTGTTATAATTCTTTTTCTATCCTTTGCAAATGATTCAAATTTTAGTATGTTATTATGGATGATAACGACTACCAGTTGTCAAAATTTCAGCTTTTCACAGTTGTTATTTCTAACAAATATTAGGTTTTAAAATTTTGTCCCTTAGTTTTGGACGCTACTGTATATATAAATTCCCAAGAGGATAGAATCCAGGTAGAACTCAATGTCCAGGACAGAGTAAGAATATAATATAAAAAAGGCTCAAACACTAATATTCCATGGTTATAATTTATTACATTGGAATTGTAAACACGATCCAAATCATCAGGCCTAAAAATTCAAAAAATATTAGTGTTTGAGCATATATATATATATATATATATATATCTAGGCAGCAATCCTTCATTTATACATGTTTCATTAAAGACAACAGACAAGGTACTATGATTAAGCTTTTTATTTTTCTTGTGTTCAATCAAGTGTTTTCTTTTTGTGACAGAGTGTGTAGAAACTGCCCAAATGTTCTGTAATTCTTTATAGACTACCAAATTAGACTATTTCTCCCCAAAGTAAATAACAATGATAATGAACAGTCAAAAACATGAATATTTTCTACAAAAGCCACATGCACATCAACTACAAACAAGATGAATCTTCACTTAGAAATATCAAAGAAATACACTACCCCAATTGACCTTAACAAAAAAAAATTAAATTATCCACTACGAAAAAGTGAAATCAGCAAACCTTATCCTCAGAAATAACAACACACCAGCAAAGTCAAAATTGCAATGAACAAACATTATCTGTGTTCAAATGCTCCTTAAGAAACTGTGTTCCTGATTAAACCAAATTCATAAATAATTACATTGGTCACACAACTACATGTCTATCCAGACACCTTACGTTACACATATCTGACCACAGCTCTATTAGAATCCATTTAAACATACACGCACAAACTTACC